ATGAATGAACGTCAGACATTATCAATATTCAGAAATCGGTTTATTAGAAAAAACTTATTAATTTAATCAGGAGTCAGAATGATCAAGCGAAGGAAATATTGAAGAGAATAAGCAACAATTGCAAGAAAAAACAATCAAGAATCTCCAATTACATTTACAACAATGACAATAATACCCAAAAGAAACGTATTAAAGAAGTCATTAATTTCATAAGTCCAACTAATCGTGAAAATATTTAGACGTTATCTTGTCTTATGTAAATGTTCAAGATGGCACGATAATGAGAGTTAGCAATAATCAATATTGCCGATATGACTCGTGGCTATCACCACAAATTTATGATTCAATTGAAGATAGGTATTAATAATAATTAGTAGATTAGTTTTACCTAGCAACCTAATTTTTGTGTCAAATAATAGGAGCGTCGAAGATGTTTGGCTTCAGTCTATACAAATGATCTTAACGGTTTTATTACAAACAACCTCAACATCACGAGAGAAGATCACAAAATTATCTTAACGGTAAGTTTATTATAACAATGGAAAGCTTAATATAGTACTTTTGAGTTAATCAATTTACATATTTACAAATAAGGCTTTATTTGTTATTCATGCGTCCAGCGAACTGCGTACATGTTTTATCATTGATTCAGTGATTAATTCTTATTAGATTTGTGGATTTGGAATTCTTTTTTACATTGTTGAAAATGATGATGTCACATTGAATTTTAGTGGGAGGCAGATACACTAATACATATTAATAAAATCTAATCATCCATTTCTTCAAATTAATCATATTCTTTTCTTCGTCATCTTGTTGTTTTCTCCATTTTTCTTCTTTTATCAGGCTACAAGTATTTAAATGAAATGAAATTATTTTGTTTGTGCTTGCAAAATTTTCATTTTCACACTTGTCAACAACTTCAAATTCAGGAAATCGATTCTTACAATAGAATACCAATTATAACTTTATTAAAAACAAATGGATCATAAGTTTCCACCTACTTTGATAAACTTTCCATTATTACATATTAAACCATTTTTAATCGAATGAGAAGCTTCTACTGATTTATTAAAAAATTCTCAAACATTAGCGCTTCTAATTAATGTTACATCAACTAAAGCAGATTTTCCGTTTCCTCTTCTATTATTTTTATACTGCCACTACTGGGTTCTAGATTAATATCAATTACTATTTTTATTTATTATAAATACTCGCGTTATAATATTATGGATAAAATTTTCCTATGCCCTTTGCCTTCCCTTTAAAATAATTATAACTTTCATGATAATTTACCAATTTGTCATTTACAATTACAATTTCATTTGATCCCATGCTTACATTTTTTGGAACCAGTAGTAAAATTAAGCAAAAATCAAGGCACCAAAAATCAATAATAATATTTATCCAGCAGTATCAGTATTAATTCAATCTAAATGTCATCCTTTTTACAATTGATAAATACTGTGAATTGCATCATCCAATTAATGATATCAAGATCATGCAGAAATGAAAATTTTAAGGAACCAATGATAATTCGTAAGGATTCATCAAGTGAAGATGAATCAAATGAAACAGACAAACAAAAAAATGATGAAACTAATAACATTAAAATTACACAAACAAATTTACTAATTCAAGTTGATGAAATGTCTGAAAAAATCAATAATTTCTCACAACATTTCAACAATCAAGCTCCCATAATAATCAATTATACCTAAAAGAAGGATTCATTAATGTACAAGGGCATCATGCTGTAGAAGATACATCTACATCATATCCTTAATTATGTCAGGCAACAATAATAACAATGAAAAAACATCAACTAACAATAACATTATATATAATTAATGGTGACATTTAAAAGTTGCAAAAATAGGCACAAAGAAAGAAAGATTAGAATTATACAATTATATAATTAACATCATGAAACAAGCAATTAATAACAATTATTACATAATGGCAATGAATATACTGCCGCCATACTATGGAATATGGGGCAATCCTATTGGGTATGGATGGGTGGGGCTTTGAGGTCAACCCAATCCCATCTCATATCCACTCCATATCCCGTGTTCCATATCCCATCCCATATCCCATGTCCCATATTAACCAATCAGATTTTCGTCGCACCATTGAATAATTATTTTTACACTTAATATATATAGAATTATATTTTTTAATGTTCCTTGTGATTCGCTTGTGAAGATGACGAAGAATTATTATTTTTTAAAAGTAATTATGTCTGTTTTTATTATTAAATTACACTTTGATAAACAGGCTGATGAGATAGAAAATTGTCAATTTCTGAAATTAATACAAGTACTGGAAATTCTAGACAATGAGGTAAATCTAGAGATCCAGTATGGAATTATTTTAATGCAATAGAAATTCCACATGATCCTCACCTGTCAGCACAAAGTAAATTTTGCTTCAAGCCATGGAAGCTTCTGACTTGAAAGGACATTTGGCTCTGAAATGCTCATTAATGATAATATAGAATCTGCAAATAAAAGGTAAAAAGGAAATATTAGAAATAATATAGATCTACATTCTTATTTTGACAGTGATAGAATAGATGCACCAAAAATTTCAAGAGCAAATCAAGAAATGGTTCGTTTTTTTTTTTGTGTGGAATTCCTTTTAGTGTTACAGATTCACCTTTCTTCTGTGATTTTACAAATCTTTATGCAGTGGTTATGAACCTCCAAAACATACCATCTTGTCTAATCATCTGTTAGATTTTGAGATTGCCAATATAGACCTTAAAGATAGAAAAAGAGGTGTGTGATTCCAAAAATTTGACTTTAGGTAATTAATTTTTAAGTAAAATTTATTAATGTAAATTTATAATAAAAATTATTACAGAATCAATTTTCTTTTTAATTATTTTTATGGTTTTATGATAAATGATAAAAATTTTTATTAATAAATATATAATACTTTTTGTTAATTCTATTAATGGGATATGGGATGGGATATGGTATTGGGTTGGGTTGTTAGACGGGGTTGGATGGGATGGGGTGGGATTTTAAGGATTTGAGTATGGGCGGCAGGTATAGCAATGAGTAATTTTAATATTTCATCTTGAAAACTTACAGAAATAAAAATAAATTTGCAATAGAGCCATACCATACCAATATAAACTCATAGAAGAAATAGAAAAATTAAACTTCATTGACATATATGATATCTGTAATGGAATAAAATCACCAACTTATAAGAGTAGAAGAGACGCCTCAAGAATTGGTCTCCGTTGGATATCCAATAACTTGATCAGTGATCTTTTGTATTACAGAAATATCCTACGCAACTATACAACTCAGATCATAATACGATCATCACTAAAGCTCCGAACGGTTCGGTTTCGAAAAATTCAGTTCGGTTTGAACCGAAGTATTCAGAGATTTAGGCTAAAAGCTACTTGGCAGTTCCTAGTATTCTAATTTTTGCACTCTTAAAATTTTATTTTGATATTTTGCAATAAAAAACTAGAATTTTATTGTAGATTGATAAATGTGGAAAAAAATACAAATAACATCGTATGATTTGCAAGTCAAATCTCGGCCGTGCTTTCATGCCACTCCATTACATTGGTGATAATAACAACAACAATAACAACAATATTAATACTAAGATTCATTGAATATTTGCTTGATTAGAAACATCCTACCCCATTCATATATTTATAAACATATTATTATTAGGATATTTTTAGATTTTTGCACTCTTAAAATTTTATTTTGATATTTTGCAATAAAAAACTAGAATTTTATTGTAGATTGATAAATGTGGAAAAAAATACAAATAACATCGTATGATTTGCAAGTCAAATCTCGGCCGTGCTTTCATGCCACTCCATTACATTGGTGATAATAACAACAACAATAACAACAATATTAATACTAAGATTCATTGAATATTTGCTTGATTAGAAACATCCTAGTTATACGCGATGTGGCGAATGATAATTCGCTTAAAAAGACAAGTTTCAATCAGGCGATCAATTATTATTATATCATTATAAATTTTATATTTTGATATATATCATTATGATTTATCTTGATATGTCATTATGATATCATTATCTTGATATGTCTACAGTATTAAATATGAAATCTTTCCGTTTAAAAACAGCAAACATTTTTATTTATGCGAATAATCCAGGTGGAACTTTTACTATACACGCACGTATTAAACTCCGATTTTTTTAAATATAAAAAATGAATTCGGAGAAATCTGATGATAACGCAACTTGATGCATTCCTATGATAATTAATGTAATGGGCGAAGAAGGGAATGAAGTTGCAGACGTTCTCGAGACTCTGAAGCATTCAAGTAGTGATTGATACCATTACCAAATCCAAATGTAATTAAAAAACTTTTTGAAAAAGAAAGTTTAGATTGCATAATTTATGTTCTAGATGTTGTAAAAAAGATCGACCTATTGCTGCTGGACAGAATAAAAATAAAGGCGTTCAATATTTTTGATATTAAATCTAGTTTACAAATTCATTTTAAGAAGTTTGAGCATTCTCCCTTTAATGATTCCTGGTTTATTTTCAGGAAATGCCACAAATTTTTGCTAATTGACGACTTTGTATAAAAAAATGGTACTATACTTTTGTACTTTGAAATGATTTTTTTTTATTTTGCGTTATGAAACTAATGTCAAAGAACATATTTATGTATTTTTTTTCAAGAACATCGAAAAAAAAGTGTTTACTCTTGGGGATTTAATAAATTTATTCCAACTCTATTACTATTACTATTACTATTACTATTCATAATTGAATGATTGATAAACAAATAAATAAAAAAGTTTTTTTCTCAATATTTATGAATTGATTGTTTATTAGATTATTATAATAATAAATTAATGAATGAAACAGACTAGTTAGAATTATAATTAAGAAATTATGCTACGAATAGAAGCATTGTTTTAATTAATTAGAGCTGAAATTTCAGCTGCTTGTTTTTTGTGATGTCGATTAAATCTAGATATTATTTTTAAAACTTCAAACTATTTCAAACTCTGAATTATTTTCGAAAATTTAAACTTTAAACAACTATTTTGAAACTCTGAAATTGTTTTTAAATCCCGAAACTCTTTTAAAATTTCGAATCTCCAGAACTTAAAAAAGAAAAATAACAGATACCATGAGTAATTAATGTAAGAAAGAGTTCGATTAAATCTTTTTCAAAAACACATTGCAAAAAAAATTTCAGTTTTTTAAAGATTTATCACGTGACTAGGATATGTGTATATTTTTGCAGATCATTCTATAATAATGATATTTAAAAAGATTGACATTTCACTGATTCATAGACGGATCGTCAATTAAGTTTTTGAAAGCTAGCAAGCATAAAAAATCCTAATGCTGTAAAAGGAATTATCATTTCCAAGATTTATTATGTCTTCGCAGACGTCGGAAACATCTTTACAATTGATGTCCATCCTTTTGTTCTCTTTTTGTGGGATGTAACTGAGGTGGGGCATATGGACTAATATTACGTAAACGTACAATTTTCCGAAGTATATTATTGTTTACAGGCATTATTAATATTAATAATAATAAAAATTTTTTTTTTAATCCAACATATTTAACCAAAAAATTAATCTCTGATTAAATAAAATAAAATGGAAACTATATTTGGAATACACCATGACACAGCTAGTCTAAGAGAAAAAAATGACATGATTCAAAAATCTAAAAATAAAGGAATTATTCTTAATGTTAGTAGTAGCAACAGCATTGATAATAATCCTACTAGCATTATTATTAACAATGAAAAGGGTGAAGTTAAAAAACTATCAGTTAATAAATCTTTGGACGACCTCATTAATAACAAAAATGCAACAAATGCAACAATTGCAACTGCAACAACACTTAAATCACTTTTACGTTTTGTTAAATCACCAACTCTTTCTCCTCATAGTACACCTCCAACATCAGTGCCTGGTACACCTTTTGAAGAAATAAGTTTGGATAAATTGATGCTAGGAAGTTATTCAACTAAATAATAATAATAATATCAACAAAGATTCTACAACTGCGCCTTTAGCAAAAACAACAGCAACTTCTTATCATTCTCACCAACATTAATATGATCCTGAATTATCTGGAAATACAAAAAAAGTTTTACCTGTTATAAAAGGAACCAATAATGACGTTAATACTACTTTTACTACTAATAATAATAACATACAAAATTTCATTTACAATCATCCTCCTCTTCCTTTGAATTTATAATAGTAATAGTAGTAATATTAATCAAATCAATCAATTTAATTAATTTAATAAAATATTTTTTTTACCAAAATTTTTCTGCTCATTAATTGCTGGATTATCATTATTGGGTTTTGTTTATAGAGTAATGCCGAACCTTTTGGTATCATTTGAACGAATCGACAAAAGAGTTACTCGCAAAAAAATATCATTTTAAATACTTGCTTTTTCTTAATATTAATATAAAGTAATTAATTATGAGTATGTATGTGGCCAGGAAGGCAATTAATTATCTTTTCGATAATATAAATTATTTGCTGAATTAAAATGCAAACGTGAGTTTTCGTGTTTGTTTATTATGTAAGTGTAAGGACCGAAAAATAAGACCGTCTGATTTAGACACATCAAAAAGAGATTAGACAACACTGTGTCTTGACCGATAAATAACATCACAATGCATAATAATATTTGCAGAAAAAAATACGCTTCGGGATATTACTCGAAGAGTAGGGTTGTTAACGGTCCGGTTCGGTCTGGTCTAGTCCAAAGACCGTCAGTCTAATCAAAGGATCGGTCCGAGACCGCGGTCCAGATCGTGGTCCAGACTTAGGGTTTCTATTCGAATAAAACAAATGGACGAATGGAACAAATGAAACAAATGATTCGAATAAAACAAATGATTCGAATAAAACAGATAAAACAAATAATGAATAAAACCCTGTAAAAATTTACTCCGTGATTAGTCTCAATGTTTTTTCCGTTTATATTAATAAATATACATTTCCGTGTTTTTTCCATAATAATAAATGTATCATATTCACGGAATCTATAATTCCGTTTTCATTAAAATGGAGGTTTCACTGAATAAATCAATTAATAAAATGGATAAAACTCGGATAAATGACTGAGCATTTACTGAATAAATAAATCAATTAATAAAATGGATAAATTCTTGAATAAATTTAATTGATAAATAAATTTTCAAGTGGTCTACTAAAGATGGCTCCTCAATTAATTGAGGCTAGTTGCAGCACATGAAATTGAATTGCGGTTCCCATCTTTAAATGTTACTACATGATAAAATGGTAAATTTTTGAAAGATTATTATGGATTAGTAATGTACATACAGCAACACGAAAATTTGTATGTGGGTACATCACCCTTGTGATTTGACAGCTTTGAGTTAACACCAGTCCATGTTCTGTTTGAAATTTTCCATATCTCTGAACAGAATTGTAATTGATTTGAAAGTAATGTAAGTAGTGTATTTGCTTTATATGCTGCATTTTCCAAAGATTCACTTATACCATCTCTTTCTGCAACAATATACATATAACTTTTTTTGATATATTCACATTCATGTGTTTAAATGGACTTGCAGTTTATTAACAACTCCATTACTCCATTCACGATTACGTGATTTGCATTTGGCTCCAAAATGTCCCGGGATATCAAACTTATTATTATTACTATTACTAGTAGTTATATGTTAAGATAATAATGGATTTTTCCATTAGTATGTTTTAATCAAGTTATATTTAACAAATAAAATGTTTTGTAAGAAAAAAATGACATGATTCAAAAATCTAAAAATAAAGGAATTATTCTTAATGTTAGTAGTAGCAACAGCATTGATAATAATCCTACTAGCATTATTATTAACAATGAAAAGGGTGAAGTTAAAAAACTATCAGTTAATAAATCTTTGGACGACCTCATTAATAACAAAAATGCAACAAATGCAACAATTGCAACTGCAACAACACTTAAATCACTTTTACGTTTTGTTAAATCACCAACTCTTTCTCCTCATAGTACACCTCCAACATCAGTGCCTGGTACACCTTTTGAAGAAATAAGTTTGGATAAATTGATGCTAGGAAGTTATTCAACTAAATAATAATAATAATATCAACAAAGATTCTACAACTGCGCCTTTAGCAAAAACAACAGCAACTTCTTATCATTCTCACCAACATTAATATGATCCTGAATTATCTGGAAATACAAAAAAAGTTTTACCTGTTATAAAAGGAACCAATAATGACGTTAATACTACTTTTACTACTAATAATAATAACATACAAAATTTCATTTACAATCATCCTCCTCTTCCTTTGAATTTATAATAGTAATAGTAGTAATATTAATCAAATCAATCAATTTAATTAATTTAATAAAATATTTTTTTTACCAAAATTTTTCTGCTCATTAATTGCTGGATTATCATTATTGGGTTTTGTTTCTTTGATATCACCTTCAGGAGGTAAATGAAACACTTCAATTGAAAATCTTTTACGTCTTAATTTAAATCTAAATTATTATTTATACCACTCTGCCATTATTACCACCACCACCACCTGATAATATAGACAGCTCCATGGTTGATGGAACCAGAAAATTTTATTGTTGGTAATTTATGAATATGAAATAAACCATTAAATGATGTTTGAATAAACCAAACTGGATTTTGATAATTATCCTAATATACAACAGCAATGAAAATGTAAATATAATAAATAAGAATATATAACATGATGTGGACGGGTGAATGTATTATTATTATATACAATATAATGCTACCTACTTACAAATGATTCAATTTCTATAACTGCATCACAAATATGTTCAATTTTTCTTACAAACGATGCATTTATTGGTTCATATAGATATGCTGGTATCGTGATGATTGCTGAACTATATGTATTTCTAATCAATCCTCTTAGTGCATGCAAAAATCTAAAAATATCCTAATAATAATATGTTTATAAATATATGAATGGGGTTTTTTGATAAAAAAGTTCAAGCAAAAAAGAATTCTTTTTTATTACATTAGAATTTCTAGCTTTCAAAATGTGATGCAGTAGAATGTATTCCTATTCTAAGGATGTTCCTTTTTATCAAAAAAGATAAATTAATATAAGAAAATCTGATAATATATAATATATAATTATTTAGAGACATGAATTATTCTCCTTATAATTTTTTGCAATTTAATCAAAATTGCTTCATACTGATTTTCACCATCAACATTATCTTTAACAATATTTTCTTGATTAGTCCAGTTAGTGCCATCAATCAATATAATTAGCTTTGAAGAACTCTCTAATATTGAATTTGATATTACTTTAGTGAGATCAAATAAGGGTTTCTTTTTTATTTAATGTTGAAGAAGATGTTGAAGAAGAAGTTGTTGTTAATAATTGAGATTTAAAATATTTGAAGCCTCTTTATTTTATAAATTAATTGAAACATGAACTAAAAAAAGATTATTTTTGTGTGTGTGAGAGAGAGAAGGAAATAAATAAATGGTTATAAGAATTTATAAAAATATGAATATGCTAACCTCTCTTATTTAAACTATTTTTTATGTTAAATTCAACTTTTTTTAGTCCTTTATATCTCCAAGCAATTGTCATTTTATCATCATCACCTACATCATGATCATAATCATAATCATCTACATTTTTATCACCTTTATCTTTCTTTCCTTACCAATCTGTAGCAAATAAACATAATGAATTTCTGGTACAAGAATACCTCAAGGTAATAAATTATATAGGGCATGCTGCAACAAAACCAGACAAAGTGAACATTGGTATTACCAAGAATTTCAGGGCTCAAACTTTAGTAATGTAACTATTATTATGATTTAACAATTTTATAATCTCCCTCCTTGTTTTTTTTTTCCATTGATATTGAAACAAGGTAAATAATCCTATCATGTATTGGAACATTATGAAAACATCACAAAAAAAAAAATGAATACTAACTAGCCAATTAATTGGATAGTAAGATTTTATTTTTGAAAATTTTCGCAAATAATAATTACAGTCAAACCTCGTCACAGCGGACCTCGCCACAGCGGATTTCTTGTTACAACGGATTTAAAATTTGTCCCCTTTTTTTACTAATACTAATTAAAAATATTTGTCACGGCGGATTTTATTAATAAATTCGTGCCACAGTGTTAACGGATTTTTGATTGGGAACCTTCTATATGACTACTAATCTTACCACAGCGGATTCACGTGACATATAAATTTATAAAATTATCCGAATTACTAAAATAGGCAACAAAATTTACAAAATTTTCTATTATTTGTTCAAACGTTTACAAGTAACAAAATTTTCCAAGTTTCTAAAATAATTTATCAAATGCTTGCGAGTAACA